GTGTCGCAGTGGGTGCCCATGGGGCACTGTGGACAGCACTGCCTTGACACGCTCTTGAAAAGTACAACGCATTTTGTCCCACCTATTTGCTCTGATACGTTCAGTGGTACGCATGTTAACGTAGACGATGATGCCGCCGGCGAGTCTGACATGGCTGCCGCCGTGGGCGGCCGCCCGAAAACTGGCACTGCCGATGCGGCCGTCACAGCTGCCGTCCGTGCTGTCGTCGATGGCTGTGGAGGGGTCGGGAATTTAAGGGGGTACAGGTGCGATCGGGGATTTAAGCGGGCACAGCCCCACTCGGACTGAGTGGCCTGCCCGCCCCACCAGGCTTTGAGCCAGCCTTGAGCAGACTGTACCGATGCTGTCGTCGATGTTGTCGTCGATACAGAGTGTGCCGCAGACGATGAAATCGACGAGGCAGACGTGTCATAACATGGCATGGCGGTCCCACTAGCGTAGGGTGCGCCTGAAGACGGCACCCGCGCCAGCGGCCCTGGGCGAGGCGTAAGGACAGTGAATGGGCGAGGGCTCGTCGAGGCAGGCGTCGATGCAGTCGTCGGTGCTGACGTCGCTGTTGGGGTCGATGCGGGCCGTGGCGCAGGCGTAGGTGTCGACGTGGCGGACATGATACGGCGTGGCATGGCGGCCCCAATAGCCGTGGGTGTGCCTGACGGCGTCGATCTCGTCGTCGATGCCGCCGTCGGTGCCGACGATACTGAGGCCGACCCTGTCGTCAATGCTGGCGTCGGTGCGGCCATGAGCGCGGGAGCCACGGCCGTGTATGCCGCCGTGGATGCAGTCATGGGTGCTGTCGTGGATACCGCTGTGGAGGCCGTTTGGGGTGCTGCCGTAGATGCCGACGTGGGTGCCAACGTTGGTGCCGCCGCCGGCGAGTCTGCCACTGCTGACGTCGAAGGCGGTCGCCCGAAAGCTGTCGCTGCCGATGTGGACGTCCCAGCTGCCGTCCGTGGTGGCGTCGATGTAGACGTCGGCACAGATAGTGACACAGACGATACGGGCGACGAGGCGGACGTGGCATGACATGACATGGCGGCCCCACTAGCGGAGAGTGCGCCTGAAGGCCGCACTCCCGCCCGCGGCCCTGGACGAGGCGTCAGAGCAATGACTGGCTGAGGACTCATCGAGGCTGGCCTCGATGCGGCCGTCGGTGCTGACGTTGATGTGGACGTGGGCGCCTCAATCGATGCGGTGGTCGGCGGTGCTGGCCTAGAGACCCAGGGTCGTCGGCGGGGTGGGATAAATAGTGGGTGGCGGCACTCGGTGGCACCCAGCAGCGGGACTAAAGTCAGTCGCTTGGGGGTGGGGCACATGAGCAGTATGATCGACTGTCAGAGGGTAGCGCTGCCGTTCGGTGGATGCAGGCACGGGTGCTGGCGTCCTGGTGACCGTGGACGCTGGTGTCGATGTTGACGTCAATGCAGGCAGTGGCACTGACGATGTTGTCGACGAGGCGGACGTGGCATGGCATGGCATGACGGCCCCAATGGCGTAGGGTGCGCCTGAAGACGGTACCCGCGCCAGCGGCCCTGGGTGATGCCGAGGAGAGGTCTGTAGGTCACCAGACTTCGGCGGGCCTGAAGGCGCCGCCGAGCGAGTGGCCATGCAGGGAGCGCAGGAGTGGCTAATTGTGGTGCTGACGTCTCTTGCGGCCGTCGGAGCTGTCGCTGGCAGTACTGGCGTCGCTGCCGTCGATGCTGACGTCGGAGCCGCCGCTGGCAGTGGTGGCGTCGCTGCCGTCGATGCTACCGTCGGAGCCGGTGATGCTATCGATGCCGCCGTCGGAGTCTGTGAAACTGCGGGCGGAGCCGTCGTCGCTGCCGTCGACGCGGCCGTCGGAGCCGACGATGCTAACGATACTGGCGTCGGGGCCGGCGGTGCTAACGATGCTGCCGCCGTGGGCGGCCGCCCGAAAACTGGCACTGTCGATGCGGCCGTCACAGCTGCCGCCCGTGCTGTCGTCGATGACTGTGGAGGGATCGGGAATTTAAGGGGGTACAGGTGCGATCGGGAATTTAAGCGGGTACAGCCCCACTCGGACTGAGTGGCCTGCCCGCCCCACCAGGCCTTGAGCCAGCCTTGAGCAGACTGTACCGATGCTGTCGTCGATGTTGTCGTCGATGCAGAGTGTGCCGCAGACGATGAAATCAACGAGGCAGACGTGTCATAACATGGCATGGCGGTCCCACTAGCATCAGGTGCACCTGAAGGCAGCACCCTCGCCAACGGCCCTGGGCGAGGCGTCAGGACAGAGGTTGTTGAAAGGCCCGTCGTGGCTGACGTCGATGCGGTCGGCAGTGCTGGTGGCGATGCTGAGGTCGATGCAAGGACGAGCATGACGACGGCCGAGATGGTGGCCCGTTTGGGGCGGGCCAGGCCCGCCGTGCCCTTGAAGCCGCAGGCGGAGCCGAGGACGCCGAAGAACGCGCAGCCGACCTTGACGGCCCTTGTGGGGCGGGCTGGGCCCGCCGTGCCGGCGGAGTCGACGATGTGCTTGACGACGCTCCTGGTGCCCTTGCCGATGGTACGCAAGACCGTACCGACGGTGCCGAGAACGATGCCGAAGGTGGAGCCGAGGCCGTACCCGAAATTCAGCATGATAATGCCAATGAAGTTGAGAGCGGTGCCTGCGGTGCCGCGGGAGCGCTCTCGGGGGGAGGTTTGGGGCCGACTGCTTGTCACGCACGGCGCGACGACGGCAGGCGTGGGAACAGCCCGACCGCACTCAGCACCGTCACCCTCAGCAGTCGGGAGCCCAACCCCCCCCTGGATACCTGGCCGTGCCGAGGTGGGCAGGTGCTGGACGGAGTCGTCTGTGTTGACGTCGGTGCCTGGTAGGTGAGCGCGGAGGTCGGCTCGGTAGGCGCGCAGCTCGGCGCGCAGGTGAAACACGTCGTGCCCGAGTATACGTAGATCCTCGTGAAGATCCGCACGCGACACGTGTGGGACGTATCCAGGTGGCACTGGGAGGTCGCGCCCGTGCGGGACGGGCACGCGGAAGACAAGGTCCCGGTGCCTATGTTCAGTAACATGGCCAGGCAGCTCAGGTAGTACAGCATGGTGAGACGTGAAAGTGCGGTGGCGGCCTGGCGCAGACAGGGGGGCCATGGCGGCGGTCGCACTGAGGAAGTGAACAGACGCAAATCAGTACCGCGCTGCTGGCACGGTTCCGGTCTCGCGAGGCCTGGAGTCGGGACTCCAGAGCGGGGCGCTTCGCGTCGCGGCTACGCTATGAGTGCAGGGCACTCTCGAGCCGAGACTATAGAGAGAGAGAGAGAGAGAGAGAGAGAGAGAGAGAGAGAGAGAGAGAGAGAGAGAGAGCAGAGAGAGAGAGAGAGAGAGAGAGAGAGAGAGAGAGAGAGAGAGAGAGAGAGAAGGAGAGAGATACAGAGAGAGAGAGAGAGGGAGGGGGCGGCCAGCTGCAGCCTGCAGCAAGGAGCTGAGCCAGACGCCACGACCGTGTGGCTGCGAGCTGCGAGCGGCAAGCCTCCCTCCCTGTTCCCTGTCTGCCCCGTCTTCCTCGTCGTCGTCTTCTTCGTCGTCGTCGTCCTGATGCTGTCTGCCCGTCGCTGTCGTCCTCGACGTCGTCGTCGTCGTCGCCCTGATGCTGCGTGGTTGCCTACCTGCCTGATTCGTCGTCGTCGCGTTCGTCGTCATCGTCGTCGTCGTCCTGCTCCTCGACTCCTCCGTGCCACTCCGTGCCGCTGCAGACTGCGCCGTGCACCAACCATCAGCCAATGCCAACGGTCACTGTGCTGACGAGGAGAAGGGGAGGATGAGGGAGGGGGGGAGGGAGTCGGGAGGGAGGGCAGGAGGGTCGGAGGCGGAGGGGGGGGGGGAGGGGGGGAGGAGGAGGAGGAGGAATAACATAGGGGGCTCGCAGGAGGGGGGGTCGATAATCAGAGAAGCAGAAGTGGAAAGTCAGTAGAAGAGGCATCGCACGAATAAGGAAGGTTGACGAGAAAGAGGAGGTACGGCGAAGCAGGAGGAGGAGGAGGAGGAGGAGGAGAATGGCGAACCGGGCCAGCACGGGCGTCTGAGTGGCCCTTCAACTTGTCACCCTTCCCATCCTCATCCTCCCGCTCTTTTTTGTCCCACCTTCTTCTCAGCTCAAGGCTCCTTCTCTTCCTTCTTCCCCTTTCTTCTTCTTCCTCCTCACCGCCATGCCATCGCAACGGTCACCATTATCACCACCCTCGTCCTTATCGCCATCCTCGTAGCGCGGCGGCCGCGGGCGGCCTCCTCCTCCACCATGGCGGCGCCGCCCGTGCGTTTGCGAGGCCCTCTGGAGGGGCCAGATGGTGGGCCTGGTTCCTGGGGCCTCTCGGGCCCCAGACGAGGTACTCGGCCTGGACTTGCCAAACCGCGGCGGCCAGCGGGCGGAGGTCCCTCCGCCCCCGCTGCCGCCATGCCCTCCGGCGCCCTGCAGGGGCGGGAATCGCGCGATGGGCGCCGTGTCGCCCACCTGGTTCGTGCCAGCGTGGGCGGACAGGCAGCGGCGAAAGCGGGGAGGACCCCCGCGCGGTGGCGATGCTCTGGGTGGAGGGCGGCCAGTCGCGGCGCCCCATGGGCGTCGCGATAAAATTGCCACCCCCACGCCCTCCACCCTCCACCACCGCCGCCATACCAGGCCGTAAAAACAATACAAATGGTAACACTTACATGTGCATCACCAGGCAATTTGGTACAATTATTTCCTGGAGGAGGGGGTCGCGATGCGCGACCCGCGCCTTTAAGGATCGCGAGGCCGATTGGGGGCGCCATTCATCATCATGTCACCTTCCTCAACCCCTCTCAAGGATCCTTTCTCTCCACGCCCCGCCTCGCCTCTCCCTGTCTGTCCCTCCCTTCGCATCTGCGTGTCCATAGTAAGCCCGCAGGAGGGTCAATCGATGAATGATTGGATGACTGATTGCTCTTAGTTCTGACGCCCTCATTCTGATCGAGGCGCTCGCGGAGCAGACCAGAGCACTGTCGAGGAGAGATCGACCAATTCTGGTCGACGTGAAAGGAATCGGAAGACCGTGCACTTTCACCAACGACGAGAGCAAGCTCCCAGATTGGTGTAAGAAAGTAGAGGACTACTTGCTCGGAGTCGAGCCACAGCTAGCAGCTGCGCTCGAGTGGGCGCTCGAGCAGGAGGACGAGTTCACGACAGCTGAAACAGTCCTTGCCCTGGACCCCGGCACGGGGCATGCCATGGGCAATATTGCGGCGCTCAACTTGCAGATCAAGTCGGTACTTTCGAACTTGACAGCAGGAGAGTCGTGGACGATCGTCCAGAACTGTGGCCGCAACGGTCTGGAGGCATGGAGCAGGCGCCTGACAGGAGGTTCGACGCGCTGACAGGCGGAAGGCGCCGGGCGCTGCTGCGTGCCATCTTGCCCCCTCACCGGGTGAAGCTGGAGGAGGTAGGAACAGCTCTCCAGTTGTGGGGGGATATGGCCACGCGGCACAACAAGAAGCAACATAGGCTCGGAGAGGCCCCGATTGCAGACGTGTACCTGTGCAGCGCACTGGAGGCACTGGTCCCAGAGGACGTTGAGAACCACCTGCAGATGAACGCGAATCGCTTGAAAAAGTGCAGCGACATGCGGGCTGAAGTAGTAGCTTTCTACGAAGCTCGCACAAGGAAGAAAGTTTGCGTGACTCTGCAGGAGCGCATGGACAGCGCTAGTTCTGGCGGCCCTGCGCCCATGGACGTCGACAGCCTACAGACAGGAAGAGGCGGCAGTGACCCGAAGGGGCGACCCAGAGGAAAAGGAGACAATGAAGGGAAAGAGACAAAGGAGGAAAAGGAAAGGGCCAAGGAGGAGGAAACGGAAAGGAAGACGGGGGAAGACGCGCGCCCCCGCCAAAGCCTTTCGAGGGGCACTGCGACAACTGCGGCAAGTGGGGACACAAGAAGGCAGACTGCTGGGGCAAGCCCCGGGACGCGAGGAAACCCAAGGGCGACCCCAAAGGAGGCGGCCGCGGACGCGGGCCCAAGGGGGCCCGAGGCAGAGGCGCGGCCTCCCTCGAGGAAGCAGGAGACCACGGACACGAACCAGAGACGGGGCAGGCCTCCCTCGAGCTAGGTGCGTTCGACGCGCGGGCAGCCCCGCTGTCGGTCGCCCCTGTGGCTGGCGTAGACGACGAGGGGTACGCCAAGATCAACCTCGACACCGGCGCAGCAGTCACTGCGTTCCCCAGGAGCCAGTTTGGCGGCGGCCACCCAGACGAGAACCACAGAGGTTACGCCACCGCGAGCGGGGAGCGAATCCCTGACTGCGGAGGGAGCCGGCTCGTGTGCACGGACGAACACGGGCAGCGTCGCGGTATCACCGGCCGAAAGACAGACGCGCACAAGGTGCTGGCCTTTGCAAGCCACGTCTTCAGTGGTGGAAAGCAGGTGGCGTGGCTGACCGAGGATGGTGGGCGCATCATTCCGTGCGACGGTCCTGTCGCGAAAGCGATCGCCAATGTGATCCAAAAGCACGAGCAGCTTGAGTCTGGGAAGACCATGCTGCCAGTTTACCAGGAGAAGGGCGCGTGCAACTTCTACCTGAAGGTATACAGCCAGGAGGAGATCGGAGTAGTCTCCGAGACGAAGGAAGGCTCGCCGCTTTTCGGGCGGCAGGGCAAGCACCTGCAAGCCCGCTCGAAGCTCCAGCTGCGGGCAGCCCCGCGCCGGAGGAAGCGCAGGCCGCGGGCGGCCCCGCGCCTGCGGCAGCAGGAGCAGAGGCAGCAGCGGCAGGAGCAGAGGAAGAGCAGGAGGTAGGAGAAGAACAGCCTAGGGTGCGTCAGCGGGCAGCCCCGCGGCCACCTACCAAGCTTGAGCTTGCAGACCACTACGCTACAGGGCATGCTGTCTATCGTTCGTGGTGTCGCCACTGCGTCAATAGCAGAGGCATCGGCGAACAGCACCGGCCACAGGCAGCGCGGCAGGCAGGGGAAGAGCATGCCGACCCAGTCGTAGTTTCTGATTACGGCTTCATGGGGGGCACTGAGCAGGAGGAGACGATGCTTATTTTTGTCACCAAGGACCGAACAACCAAGGGATATGCAGCGACAGCTATTCCAAGGAAAGGGGTCAATCTCTTCAACATCAAGTTTTTTGCAAGAGCCGTGAAGGAGCTAGGATGGAAGAGGATGGTGAGCAAGTCTGATGGTGAACACAGTCTTGTTGCATTGAAGCAAGCAGTGTCTGACTCCATGCCAGGCGTGGAAATGGTCATGCAAGAGTCGCCTGTCGGCGATCACCAGGCGAATGGTGAGGCAGAAAACGCTGTCAAGGAGGTGAAAAGGACGGCGCCGGTGCTCAAGGCCACCCTGGAAGAACGGATCGGGAAGAACCTTCCCGTCGACCATCCTCTCTGGACGTGGCTTCCGCGCCGCGCGGCAGCCTGTTTGCGCAGGTGCAGAATCGGGCCGGATGGCCCGACAGCAGAGCAGCGCATGACAGGCAGAGCTTGGGCCAAGGCAGCGGTCGAGCTTGGAGACAGGATCCATGCTCGACCAGCAGTGGCGCAGGAGCCCAGGAGCGGGTTCGCGCCGAAAATGGTCGAAGGCAGGTACGTGGGTCACCAATCCCGTACAGGAAGCCTTCTCGTGACGACCGAGACGGGCGCGACGCGCGCCAAGGCATTCAACAGGATGCAGGAGGACGAAAGGTGGACCTGCCAGGGGCTGGACGACCTCAAGGGGGTACCACGGCAGATGGTACCGCCGGCTGCGGGTAGCACCGCGCCGGCGCCGGCTGCGGGCAGCTCCGCGCTGGCGAGGGCTCCGCCACTTGCGGCGGGAGCAGAGGCAGCCGCGGAAGCTGCGAGACCACCGCCTGCGCCACTCCCGGTGGCAGCAGGAGGAGGGGGGGGGAGGGGGGGTTCCAGGGCCCAGGAAACTCGACATCCTCAAGAGGGACATCGAAGCCTACGGGCCGACCCCCACTTGTCTGGCGCGCGCGAACATCACGTTCGGGATGCCGGCAGGAGTGGCGCATTCTTCCGAGTGCACACAGAGAGTGACGGCGCGCATTGAAGCTGATGTGCAGCAACGGAGGCGGGTAGAAGCGCAGCAGGCGCGCAGGGGAGCTGAGGCGCCCGCGCCGCCCGCGGGCGGCTCCGCGGCGGACGCGTCGGGGGCGCCTGGACAAGCGGGGGTCCTGAGGGGGGCCCCAGGGCCGGCAGAAGAGCGGCCTGCAGCCAAAAGGAGGGTGGACCAGATGCCGACGGCACTGGATCGCGCGGCGCGGAAACGATCGCCCGAAGATCCACCCGACGATCCAAGGCTAGAGACGGCGGACGACGGCGCGATCGCGCCGCCGGCGGTGCAGGCTCAGGCAGCAGCATCAGCAGGAGCGAGCGCAAGCTCGTCGGCAGTGCCAGCTGCGGGCAGCCCCGCGCCGGCGCCGGCTGCGGGAAGTTCCGCGCCACAGGGGCCAGATGTGGCCATGGGGAGCTTGTCAGCAAGAAAAGAGGAGCTCAGACGCATGTACGAGAGTAGGATCGTTGAGGCCTATCGTGCAAACTGCGTCGACTTGCCGTCGTCTGAGCTGGATGACGTCACCCAGATGGCTCTAGAGCTAGGAGCCGTTGAGGTGCCAGACGCGCGCCCTGGAGAGCACGCGGGCCGTGGCGCACCTGCCGACAACGTAGGATTGAGGCCCGGCGTGTGCATGAACATGGAGCGCCCACGGCCCGACGGTGCGAAATGGGATTTCGCTCGAGAGGAACATGTCTCTGAGTGGTTCGAGACCCTGGAGCGCGAAGATCCCTGCATCGTCGCGGGGTCTCCTCCTCGCATTCCCTCAACTACGACGCGTTCAAAAGAAGAGGAACGAGGAGGAAAGTCGCAAGAAGGAGGAAGAGGAGGAGGCGATGAGGAACTTGTGGGTTGCATGTGAAAGCTACAGGCGGCAGGCAAGGAGGGGGCGATACTTCTTGCGCGAACACCCACACGGCGCCAGCAGCTGGGAGAAGAAGGAGGTAGAGGAGGTCATGAGGGGAGAAGGAGTGGTGCGAGTGAATGGCCCCATGTGCAGGTGGGGCGAGGCAGGAGACGGCCGCGCGCCCTTCGCACGGACCCAGACGAGCTTCATGACCAACGTTCCAGAGCTAGCCGCAGAACTGCGCAAGCAGAGCGCTGGCGGGAAAGGCGGCGGGCAGCCCCGCGCCCAGGAGACACGGGTTAAGGTGATACTGGAAGGCGGCCTCCTACGGAGGTCACGCATGCTCACCCCGGTGCTGACGCAATGCGTTCTTCGAGCCATTCGTGAAAGCATGGGTGCTGATGGCGAGATGCCCGATCTGGCCGCAGCAACAGCAGGCCCTGTGCCGGTCGGCCCAGAGCCCTTCGAAGCAGGCAGGGAAAACCCTGAGCGATGACGAGCGCTATTGGGGCGACGTGAACGGAGGGTGGCTGGACCCACAGATGGTTCGAGAAGCGCCGCGGCTAGAAGTAGAGTGGCTGCGCAAGCAGGACGTCTACGAGAAGAGGGCAATAGAGGGGTGCAGGAGCGTCACAGGACAACCGCCCATCAAGTTGATGTGGACAGACACTAATAAGGGCGACCACGACAAGCCGAACTACAGGTCGCGGATTGTCGTGCGAGAGAAGCGCGGCAAGGGCGAGGAAGGACGAAAACTACCAGCAGCACTTCTCTTTTCAGCAATGCCACCGTTAGAAGCAGTCAAGATTCTCGGCGGCATGATGGTCCAAAAGGCGGAGGTCCAGTAGGAACCGGCCTCTGGCCATGAGATTATTTGACACATCCCGGGCCCGTTTCTATAGGGAAGCGGAGAGGGCCGTGTATATAGAGTTGCCTGACGCCGAAGCAGATGGCGTACATTGTGGTATTCTTAAGAAAAGTTCGTACGGCACACAGGACGCATCTGCAATATGGCAACGAGATTACACCGCAGTCATGGAAGCAGACGGACACAGGCCAGGCAAAGCCAACCCAGCATTGTTCTACAACATGAACAACGACTCGCGCTCTCTTGTCCATGGAGACGACTTCTGCGCCCTAGGAGACGAGGAGGCACTGGGCGAGCTAGAAAAGACGCTTCGGTCCAAGTACGATCTGAAAGTGACGGGAAGCCTCCAGCTTGGGGCCGGGAGTGACCAAAAAGTGGTTTTCTTGAATCGCATTTTGCGCGTTGCTGGGTCTCCAGGGGACGAACGTTTCGCGGTTGAAGCAGATCCCCGCCACGCAGAAATGATCGCGGCAGAAATGGGACTGGCAGGAGAGAGGACGAAAGCTTTGGACACGCCCGGGCTGAAGAAGGAGGAGGCAGAGCACGACGAGGAGAGAGAAACATCGCCACTACTCACAGGAGATGCCGTTAAGCAGTACAGAAGTGTGACGATGAGAGCAGCTTATCTTTCTCCTGATCGTGCAGACATAGGAGACGCAGTAAAGAACTTGGCAAAGTATATGCAATCACCGAGGCAGGTCGATGTTGTACGCTTGAGGAGGTTGGCCAGATACCTCAAGGGACGACCGCTCGTCGCGCAGAAGTTCACCAGAGACAGGAGCCGTGCCAACGACGACGTTGTCAAGGTGTTGATCATGCACAGCGACAAGGCTGGAGACAAGGTGTCTCGGAGGTCAACCGTTGGCCAAGTTGCCTTCGTAGGCAAGCACGTGGTAAAACACATGTGCAACATCCTGCAGGTGACCGGTCTCTCGTCCGGCGAGAACGAGTACTATGCCATAAGCGCAGGTGCTTGTGCCGGACTTGGCATCAAGGGTATCTTAGAAGACTGGAATGTGGCTTGCGAGCTGAAGGTGGTCTCCGAGTCATCAGCAGCACGAGGCCTTTCTTCGAGGAGAGGAGTAGGAAAGCAGAAACACATCCAGACGCGATATCTCTGGGTGCAAGAGCGACTCGCTATGAGACATCTCGATATTGGTAAGATCGGCACGAAGGAGAACAGGGCAGACTTGCTCACCAAGCCGCTTACGAAGAGGGAGATGGAGGAGCACATGAGAGGGATGCACCAGGAGTTCCGGGAAGGGCGAGCGCAGTCTGGCCTGCGCCTACTCTGACCAGACCGCAGAGGAGACGGGAGGCGAGACGCCGAGCGCCGAGCCCGAGCTCCAGACAGCCCCTGGCTGCGGCAAGATCCGCGCCGGGTGCAAGACTGAACCTGGAAGCGGGGAGTCCGGCGGGGAGCTCCGCGCCAGGCCAACTGAGCCCAGCGACGCGCCTAGCTGCGGGTAGCCCCGTGCCAGGCACAACGCTATTGAGCACTGAACGCCTTGCCGCTGCGTGGTTGTGGATCGCCACAGCTCCGCTACCTTCTCTGGATGGCTAGGGCCGCCCACGGGACTGACAGAGCGCCGCGAGACGGGGTGCATCCCGAATCGCAGCGAGGAGGGGTGAAGAAGTCCCCCCCCTCGGACGCATGCAGTGTAGAGAATGGGATGGTAGCATCAGCAGTGCAGTGCAGAGCATCATGTAGAATTGTTGTTCGCTTGTCATTCCATAGCCCCTTTCGGCGAAAGGTTTTCTCAGTTCAGTATACGTTTTGTATATTGTACGTTTGTCGTCTACGTCCCGTAGACGTTTCGCGTACGTTTCGTGGGCGTTTGCGATACGTATATGTTTCATGCAGGTTTCGTTTAGGGTCGATTACGTCTCGCATTCGTGTCGTTGCCATTTCGTATGTTTTGCGGACGGCATGTATACGTTTTGCAGTTGTTGTTTACACCTGCGCTTCGGACGCACGTCATTTTATTGTGTACATGCGTGGTGTATACACTTCATGCACGTTTTCTATACACGTGTTTTGTTCCCCTTAACGTTTCGCGCGCGTCATATTGCATACGCGTTTTCGATACGTTTCGTACTCGTACCATTTATGTTTAGCATACATGCAGTAAACGTATGATATGAGTTTCGTATACACGTTATGTTTTTGTTGCATTTGCAGCTTAAAGTTTGCATGCACGTCTTTGCGAATATTGTCCAGATACGATTCATAAGCGTTTGGCTTACGTTCGGCGTGCGTTTCGTTTACTGTGTATATACCTGTCATCTGCGTTTCATATACGGGTCATATACGTTTCGTTTACGTGCAATGTGCGTTTCATGTTCATTCATACACGTTTTGTTTGTTCCGTGTGCTGTCATATTGTTGCGACCTACTACCGGTTACCAGTACAACGCGCGCCGACATATACATTCCCTGGTGTTGTTCTGCTTCTCCGGAAACCGAATGCTTGCACATACGCGTGCCAGTTTGGCTTCCAGACCTTTGCAGGACGACCCCGTCCGAAACATTCGCCAGAGGAGCGCCCGCAAACTGGTACATTCCTCGGCGCAACCGGGGAATGTACCTTTTTCGCCGGGGCACGTGCCCGTTCCCAATGGTATGGATGAGAAGCCATCAAGAGTGGGTGGGCAGAAGGCAACAGCATGACGGGTGGGGGGCCAGTCTTTGGATCTTTCCATACGAGGCCTTTCAAAAAGGTTTTACCTTCGAGGATCGAAGGAGTTGTCATTTTTTCCATGGCGAAAAAGCGGCGGAAGTAAAACGAGGCCACCTCCGTTGGCGGAAGCTGGCGGAAGGCGGAAGGGCGGCGGTAGGTGGCGCAAGTAAAAGATGCGTCCCCAAGAGATGAACACGTCTTTGGGTTCAAGGTTTCCTAAATCGGCCATATGTATGTATGTGTGTATATATATATATATATATGTACACGTTTGCAGGTGTGTCTATATACATTTATACAAATATGCACACATACGTGGTGCGATCTAAAGTTTGATTCAGCGATTTCGTGGGCTGTTTCCGTTTCGATTTCGTTTTGCAGCAACGGTGGAACGAAGATTGGGCGAGGGGAAACGAACACAAAACGGGCACAGAACACGTGGTTGAGCGCGCGCCTTGTATATACAAATATACGTAGAAACACGCATGTGTGTGTGTGTGTGTGAACCTCCCGCCCGCGAAGATCTTCGTGTTGGGGGCGGTTCTTGCTCTCCCCTTCCTCCTCTTTTCCCGCGCCCCGCCGTGCCCCACTTGGTTTCCTGCGCGCCCCGCTCGCTTCTCGACCGGCGTTTGCACCGGCTTCGGCCCTTCCGCGCCCGCCGACTTGAAGAAGTGCGTGCGCCTCCCTGGGCAAGCCAGGAGGGCGTACATCATCGAAGGCAACAGAGCCCCTGACCCTGAGAGCACGATGAAGACGTGGCCTCACTCAGGTTCCCGTCTTCGCACTAGGGATGCTACATCTGGGCGGTTTGGTCTGGCACACCTGCACGAAAGACCCCTTATCCCTGGTGTTCCCCTCCCAGAGGGTCAGGGGTACTTTTGCTGCTTAGCAGTATATGCTTCGACCCCAGCCCATGGCAGGCCTCGCGCCCACCGCCGCCGCGCAGGTTTTGTCCGCTCACTGGGCGCCCCCGTGCCCCAGGCCCCCAGGCGAGCGGACGGCGGAAGCGGACGGTGGAAAACGGCCGCATATGGCCAGGACCCCAGGCGAGGGGAGCCAGCCGGCTAGTGAATGGGCCCCGACGCTCAAGATCGGGAAACGTAAGACTCGAGTACGCGGGCACTCGGGTTCGCCCACGTGTTTTGACTAACGCGTCCTGGAGTTGGACGGCCCAGTTTCCGTAGGATGTTTGCAGCGGGAGCTCGCGTCAAGTTTCAGAGTTGGTCTCGTCATTGTCATGTTGGCCCCGCCGGGCCAATCCGAGTCCTCCGAGCCCCAGTCTTACGTTTCCTCGATAAAGATCAACCAAGGTTTCGCGTCCGCCGTCGCCGCGCACTTCCGTTCCCCGGGCGCCCCCGGGGCCAGGGTGAGCGGATATGACCAGGCCCCCAGGCAAGGGGAGCTGGCCCGTTATAGTGGTTGAACCCTTCGGCGGCGAGCCGAAGGTCAGAGCCCCGAATCATCAGGGGTAACTCGGGTCAGGGATAACTCGGGCTCCTTTTTCGGGAATCCAAACCCGACTTACCCCGGACCCGAGTTACCCCGGATAATTCGGGCGTCCAGAGCCCCGAATCATCAGAATCAGGGGTAACTCGGGTCAGGGATAACTCGGGTTCCTTTTTCGGGAATCCAAACCCGACTTACCCCGGACCCGAGTTACCCCGGATAACTCGGGCGCCCAAGAAGGGAGAAGTGAGGAGCGGCGGGCTTTCCCAGAAGAGGCCTCTGGCCTTCTGAGGAGTGTTGTGTAAGCCTTCCCCGAAGACGCGCAGAACTCCGCAGGAGGCCGCAGGCCTTTCGAGAACGGTCGGATGGCCAGGGGCCTGGGCAAGGGGAGCCAGCCAGTTTGTGATTGGGCCCCGAAGCCTAAAGAACATAGCTAGAACCACCAGACCATGTCTGCCATAGCTGGTGTTTTTTCGGGTGGCGGCAGTTCCGCTTGGTGGAACGGGGCGTGGGGGGGTGGGGGGGGGGCGACCCCCAGTGCACATCACTGAGCCAGGTACCGCGAGGCCCAGATCTGCCCAACGCCCGAAACTGGCCCAGAGCTCCGACGATACGATTTGTGTCGATCCCCCGGTTTTTTTTTGCTCGATCTCGCCTTCGGGGCCCGCGATCGGGCCCCAGGAATAGATCAGAGACGTCTCCGGGACACAAAACCAACCCATGGAAAAGGGGCCGTGTGTGTGAAGACCGCCCATCTCCCCTTTTTATCCATCTATCCTGCTATCCTGTCGGCTCAGGTATTGGACTTCTTGAGCGCCCTTGTTCTGACGGGCGCATGGACAAAAGAGTCTTC